TTTTAAGGAAAGCATATAATAATAATAAGTAATATTTTACTTTTATCTTATCAAATTGAAAATAATATTGTTAGAAACAATAATTGTAATATAATTAATATTAGCATATCTGGTCATAGAAAACACTTCAGTTCAAAGTATTTACCACTCAAAGGGTTAAAACGTGTTGCAGAAAAAAAAGAAAAATCCTGATCACTATTTCCAATTGATTACAGGTAGTTTATTTTACCTCGATGTTCCCGTACCTTGTACTCACGATCTTCTTCATTCGTGGGATTACATTGAAAGGTGCTAGTGCCGGATTAGCTCACATGTATACGCCAAAGGTATGAATAAATTATTTCATATATATATATATATATATAAATATAAAAATAAACTACTACTACTACTACTACTACTACGACGAAGAACGGATTAAAAAATTCGAATTTCATTGAAATCTGTTTCTTGTTTCCCATTTCTTTTTTTTTTCGCCCCCCTATTTTTTTTCCTTCCTATTACAACCCGTATTATCTGGTGGTAACGGGAACCTTCTTGGGGGTTCTTTGTTGGGGTTTGTTTCTATAATATCAACAACAAAAGGTGGAGAAATTATTGGAGCCCATGGTCTGGCTAGATGCGGCAACACAAGTCTTCTATAGCTTTGGATTAGCTTTTGGTTCCTTGATCGCATTCGGAAGCTACAATACACCCGACAACAATTGCGTCAGGGACGTGATTCTGGTGAGCGTGTGCAACGCGTTTACCGCCATTTACGCGAGCGTTGTCATTTTCGCCATTTTGGGGTTCAAGGCGATGTCGAATGTGGACAAGTGCCTGGAAAGGTAATCGCAAGATATCAGGTTTCGATAACAAAAAAATAATTACAACAACAAAAAAAAAAAAATAACCAACAACAGACGAAAATAGATTACGAAAAGTAAAAAGTAAAAAAAAAAAGAAATAAGGGAAGAAACTTAATTCCCATACAATTAGTTACAATTAATATTATTCTCCACATTGTTATTTAGAAACTCCGGTATTTTCATTCGTCATTTTTATAAAACAAAAATCTCTTAATATCATGATGAAATAGAAAAAAAAAAAAACAAAATAACATACAGTCAATTAATTAGTTAACTATATTATCGGATGGATCATTGTTAGATTGACAATTACAAAGAATAATTATCTCGGATTTATTTTTATCATTATTTTCATTATAGAATAAATAATATTCAAAATAGAGCATGTGCATGCGTATTTATCATTCTCGATTATGATCCTGAATCGTGCTCTTCTTTCTTTCTCATTTGTCGTACATTTCGATGAAAATTAATATAGAAAATCAATCAAATATTTTTTTTTCTATTCAAATGTAATGCAAATCCTTTCAATCTGGAGACTATCTTGTTTTTTTTTTTTGTAATCAATCAAGTTCGGAAGAAATAATTTTCAAACTCGTTAAAATACCCCCATTCACGTTAAAGCTCGAAGAGTAAAAAAAAAAAAATAAAAGAAAAAGATATTCCTCGCGTTTGTTGTAACATATATCTATCTCTCTCTCTCTCTCTCTCTCTCTCTCTCTCTCTCTTTCTCTCTCTTTCTTTCTCTCTCTCTCTTTCTTTCTCATCATCTCGACATTCGCGGGAACCTTGCCAAATGGAAGACACATCGACGTTGTAATTAAAACGTTGCAACGACGACGAGGTAAGAGGAGAGGGAAAAGGTGGTGGTGATGGTGGTGGTGATGGTGGTGGTGGTGGTGATGGTGGAGGAAGAGGAGAGAAAGGATGCACTAGTTTATTTATTTTTATCCTTTTGTTTTGTTGTTTATACTTTTTCTTTCGCTGTCTCTCTTTCTTTCTTTTCTTTTTTTTCTTTTCTAACATTTTTATTATTTTAATAATCAATATTCTTGTCCCAACAGTATATTAATATATATGAGTTTCAAAGGGAAATTAAAGACAKTTAATAAATTTGATGAACAATTTATTATGACCTTGTTGAACGTTTCGTCCCTTACTTGGGGAACTTCCTTAGCAACTACAAATTTTTTTATTATTTTTTAATTATGACTTGTTAAAAAGATATATAAACATTACAATAAATAAACTTTAATTTTTTTACCTCGATCACTTAGTTCACGCGTCAATACATATTATTTTA